CCAGGCACAGCCTGACGTCCGGCATGCTGCTGCTGAGAGGACGGCGGGACAGCAGGCGGGGTCCTCCGGCTTCACAGGACAAATATCTGCCCCCCTCTGAGGAACCGAGGTCGGAACCGAGCTGAAAAACGCGCAGAGACAGAAGAGAAGCTCGACGCCTGCGTCTCGACAGCTCCCCGAACTTTCGCTTTCACTTACACACAGCCGGGGCGGGGCTTAGCACACAGTTTCACTGAGAGCAAACACACCTGTTTCGTTCTTGGATGGAGGGCGTGTGCACTGAAACTCATCACGAGTTGTTGTGTTGTCACAGTAATAAATAGTTGTCTCTGTCTGCGGTATCATGACAAAAAGTCATTGTTTGCTGTGAGGGCAGCTATAGCGCCCCCTTGTGCTGAGTCTGATTTTGGCACAGTACAAGCCGACTGTGGGGGTCATGCTGGAGGATGAAGACACGCATGGAACTCTGTCACCTCTGCAGGTCACCTGTGGGTGTCAGCAGGGAGTCACATGGTTCGATTTGATGAACCGGAGCCAATCAAGGTGCAGGAGCTGGTCATGTGTGACACGAGTGGAACAGGATAAAATCCCTTCATTGATTCAATGAGTTAACGCTGCTGCTGTCTGTGCTGAGCTCTGATGTGGGCGTACATCACGTTCTGATGTCACTCTGAGTCAGCTTCGTCTCCCTCACCTGTCCCATGTCTCGTTTCCTCTGCAGGTAAACCGTCTGTTTGCTCCTGCTGTAACCCACGGAGACGGGACGACGATCACCGGGTCACAGAGGTCAGTGGAAGGTCACGAACAGTCACACGAACAATCTTTAAAAATCATGTTTCCTCCTTTACGAGCAAATAATTAAAGTGAGTGAATCTCTCTGTGTGAGTTTCAAACATGTTCTGTTTTATTACTGCTTCTAAAACAAGCTCCTCATGCAGCACAGCACTGTGCAAAAGTCTTGAACCAACCCTCATTTCTTTGTTTGCCAGTAAAACCTGAAAAGGTGCTTTCACTGAAACATGAACATAAATATTTGGCAGCTTTTATCTTCAGCACAGCTGAACGCTGGGATTCAGAGGATTCACAGGCCTGTGCTGAGCACGACGCAGTGCAGGGAAGCCAGATGTAGAGACCTCACACATGAACTTGCAGCATGATGACCTGCAGTTTAATCAGATTTTTTACTCGTTGTGTCTCTGCAGGAAGAGTCTTTGCATTATTCCAGCCTGAAGCATCCAGACAAGCCCCGCCCCACCACCAGGAGAGGAACCGGATTGGCTGAAGAGAAGGTCCTGTACTCAACAGTGAACATGTGCAAGAAGGCATCACATGACCACAGATAGAAGCACTTTGATTGAGCGTAAATGAATTTTTTAAATTAATAAAACTGTGAAAATATGTGATTAGATTTCAAAATCTAGATTTTAGTTTATTTGTTTGTGTAAACAGATAAGATTTATTTTTCAGTGAGCAGAAAAACTCAGTGTTTAAGAACCTTTAAATGTTAAATATCCAGAAAGTGCAATAAAGTAAAACGTTTGTAAAACATTTCTGTTAATAATAAAGTAACAGCCATGAATGTAAATCTGCCACAGCAGCGCACTTTCAAAAAATAATTACTAAACTAAAGAAAATCCTTTTTTACCCACATGTGTGTGAATAGTTCCCTCGGGTCAGTTTGGAATCTGTCTGTGTTTAAACATGTGTCTGAATATTGCTGCTGTAAATATGTTTGCTGTGCTGCTTCCATGAACAGATTCCACACTTTGTCTGTTACTAATAAACTGATTCTGACACCACGATCTGTCCTGATGGCCGCCGGTCCAGATGTGACGCTCCACATGTGGACGCCTGTAAACGAGTCCTCGCTGTAACATGTAAAGACTCAGTGAGAGCAGCTGTGCTGCTGAAGCAGAGAGTGAAACATGAAACCAAACTGACTGACAGGATTTTAACAGCTTGTGTTGCAGGTGAAACTAAGCTTCCCGTCACACGACCGTACTTTCAGACTTTCAGAGTTTGTGCTCAGCTCTCGCTGCAGGTCTGCTGATGACAGAGGAGTAGATGACGCTGTGGTGGCTCTGCTCCGGCGGACTCCTGCTGGGTCTCTCTCTCCAGTTCTGTCGGCCCAGAGAGGCGTAGTGGATCGTCTCCCCACAGAGGGGCGGGGTCTCTAAGTCCTCACCCTCTGCAGACAGACACACCGTTTTAATCCCTCGTAGACTGACGTGAGGACATCGAACACCTGGTGAGGTTACCTGTCGGTGCGCTGGACGTCATCCATGGCTGCAGCTCTGTGTCTTCACGTGTCGGTGCTGCTGCATGGAGAGATGAAGAGCGCAGCATCATCAGAAAACACGCTGACTCTAATACTGGATTCTGTTACCATAGCAACATCCATATTTTTGCATGTGCGGATTCATGTTTTAAAGACAAAGTTTTGTTTATCTGAAGCTGCAAAAAAGAATCAGTCAGCTCTCTCGTCAATAAAATCCTTTTAAACATAAATGAATCAGCCAACACGCTTCAGACTGCATGAAATTTAAACATCACTGAATAATGAATAATAATTAAATACTGATAATGATGCATGAAAAAAGTTCAGTATGAAAAACTGAAGCAGTGAAGGTGAATCATCTGAAGATGTCAAATATAAATATTCTACATAAATGAATGAATTCATTAAAAAACCTTTGATGATAAAAATTTTCTCATGTCCCCAAAATCATAGTTTCTTCTTTTTCAATCACATTTAAAATCATTTACTCTTTCACTGAATTCACTCGCACTCTGTGTAATCCCAGTCTGTGCCAGAAGGTGGCGCAGCGTGTCACAGTCTCAGGCAGGGTTGCTTCTAGCAGCATCCGTCTGCACGCACCCTGACAAACCCAGGAACTTAAAGCCAAACGTTTCCAGTTAAAATGAAGTGAAAGCCAAACGTTCACCTGCAGCTCTGCGTTTCCTCCTCCTGCACTTCATGCTGGTCAGCAACACACAGACAGCAGCTAAGAAGATGACCATCAACCCCACGCTGACGACAGCAACCAGCAGCAGAACTGAGAGCGCACACAACATCTGGTCCATGAACACGCGACACATCTGGCAGAAAACTACAAACGCGGTTTATACCCGGACTGACCGTTCTCAGGTCTCGTGTTGCTCTTCTTCTTTATTTCTCCCACTTCTAATAAACAGAGCGAGAGGACGCACACACCCACACTGGTCGCACACTCACAACGTTTAAATGTCAAAGGTCATGTGAAAGTTTGCATCCAAATAATCACAATGAATAAAACAAAGACATCTCATTTGAGGATTAAGATTGTGGTCAATTATATTTCGCACAACTAAATAAAGACAACATTTGCACGCACAGACAGATTTAAGGAAGTATGACGTAGATCCATTTATAGCGCAGCACACGGGCAGGTTTGGTAAATCCATGTAAGGTATGATTGCAGCACTGTTTCATAGCTGTTACGTGTTGAGTGTGGATGTATGATGATGTGTGTGGTGTTACCGGCTGTCACCACTGCAGGTGATGGAGGTGTGCTGGTGGACGGAGGCTGGCTGCTCGTCTCTGCGTGTGCTGGGAATGCAAACAGTTTCTATGTTTAAATCCTGGTTCACACAAACATGAATACAAAGCTCATGAAACAACCTGTAAATACACAAAACATGAACACGTGTAAACTACAGACAACGTGAAAGCAGCAGGTGAGTCCAGGCTGGACCGACCCACCTGCGAGGACCGTGACTCTGGCCTGCAGCAGCCCGTTGCAGACGTACTCTCCAGCGTCCTCTGGCTGCAGGTCCTGGATCTGCAGGGCGTCGTTGGTGAAGCTCAGCCGGCCGCCGCCCCTTTCTGGTTTCACCGTACCGTTTCTGTACTTGGTGAGGACGGCCTCCCGCCTCTCGCCCTCCCTCTGCTGGAACCACCTCTGTTTGAGTTTGGAGGAGCCGCTGCAGGGGAGCAGCAGCGTCCGGCCCGCGGACACCGTGTAGTCCCGACCTGAGGAGAAGACGCAGAGACATTCGTGCTGTCACTGCTGACCTTCTGTACTTGAGTGGCTGTGATATTGACAGGCGGCCGTAGGGACAGGGGATTGGGCAGCGCATCTGTAGGTCGCCGGTTCGATCCCCAGGATCACAACCTGGTCGTTGTGTCCTTCGGCAAGACACTTACCCTACCGCCTACTGGTGTTGGCTTCTGTCAGTCTGCCAGGGCAGCTGTGGCTACAACCGTAGCTGCCTCCACCAGTGTGTGAATGAATAGTAAAGCGCTATATATATAAATGCAATCCATCATTATATAGTTCACGGCTTCTTGTTGGATCTGTGCTTCCTGTGTCGACTTTATTCTGCAGTGACGTTGTCGTGGTGCTGTGGTGCCCTCTGTGTGAGGTGCAGGTTTTTGTTGGAGAGGGCGCTGCTGTGGCGTCTGCTGGTTGCAGCCTCTGCAAACTAAAGCGGACTCGTCCCCCTCCCTGCAGCTGTGCTCATGCTGGAGGTGTTGAGCTCACAGACCTGAGGATGAGCAGCGCAGCTCCTCACACACGCCATGGCGTGTGAATGCTTCACACGCCATGGCGTGTGAATGCTTCACCGCAGAGTTGCTAAAGCTCGTGGTCAGTCACCGATTGTAGCATGCAATCACACGCAAACAGACTCAGTGACCTATTAAAAGATGGTGTGATAATGATGAGCTGCTCTGCAGAGATAAGCCGGCTGTTTCTGCTCGCTCAGTTTCATATTTAGGCCACACGTTTCCTGTTTTTATCGTTTCCACTTTAATATCCAGTCATCTTTCTGGAGGCGTGTGTGTGACAAATTTAAACAGTGGAAATGTTTCTTTTCACATCACTCCCACTCTGTGCCTCCGTGCCATCCACTTCTCTTTTACATAGAAAACTGATCATTTCGACACGTCCTTCTTCAAACCGCTCGCTTCCTTTGAGCCTCTGTGTGGTTTTAATGTGCCTGCATCAGTGTGAGGGCACTTCATGCTGTCATCGATTCTTCAGCCTGAAGAGTTGGTGACTGTGAGAGTGCAGACGTTAGGTTTCATACTCAGTTCCTTACTTTGGAGAAGCTGCGTCAGCGATAAGCAGACATCTCTGCACTGCAGAGCTGATGAAGAAGTGAGCGCTCAGTTCACAGGAGTGTTTGCCACACTGCCTGCTGTGTGTCTCTGACAGCACAGAGTCATTGGCTCCCAGCCGGCTGCTACTCCAGCGGGAACAAGTACAAATACTTTGCTACTGTACGAGTAGTTTTCAGGTTCCTGTGTTTGACTCGAGTAGTTTCTTTTATACTTTTAACTTTTATTCGCTACATGTTGAAACAAATATCGGTACTTTCTGCTCCTTACATTTGAAAACAGGCTCGTTACGTTTGATTGGACGGTTTTGAGGTGATTTATTATTTTGTCGCTGCGAGGCTTCAAACATCAAACTGATTTGAACCTGATCAGGATCACATGAGAGGAAACTCAGTTCGATTATTAATGACCAGGAGATAACAGCGTGCGGCAGAGCCAGGGCGGCCAGGCTGTCGTAAAGCTTTTCCCTGTTCCTCGTCTTTCCCTGCATTTATTATTTTTTTTTTTTTATTTTTTTTTTTTTTTTTGTTTTTTGTTTTTTTTTTTTTTTTGTTTTGTTTTTTTTTTTGTGTTTTTTTTTTTTTTTTTTTTTTTGTTCCTCTGTTTTTGCTCCCAACCCACCCTGGTGGCTCCACCCCCAGCATACCTGTCAGCACCTGCAGCTCAGCCACCAGCTGCTGGTTACAGCGGTATCTTCCATGATCCGACTCCTTCAGATGCCAGACGCAGAGGTCGCCATTAACCATGAGGCGGTAGCGCCGGCGGTCCTTGTTGGTCTTGTAGCCGCCCCGTCGGGTCACCAGGACCTCCTGATCCTGCCGAGTCCAGATCACGTCTGAGCTGCCAGAGCTGCCGCACGGCAGACAGACGTGGTGATTCTCAGGGACCGAAAACCAGATCGCTGCTGGGGCAGAGGACGGGGTCACACATCTGAAACTGTCGAACTCAAGCAGTACAAATGTGCTTTAAATACAGCTGCAGGTCCTCTAACGTGGCCGAACCAATACAGCACACAGGTGAGCTCACCTGGTTAAGCTGCATTAAGGCTTAACATGGTTTACTGTGAGGTTAATAACACACTTTCTCATAGAGGCCGTTTGCTTTGGTAACTTCTGCCTGAAAAATGTGAAGATGACGACGCCCACGACACTTTAAACGTCAAACGTAAAAACAGGGCAAAGGCTCAACTGTTGTGGTGGTCATCTTTTATATACAGTCTCGTGCAGGTTCTCCTTTAGTGATCCGTCTCCTATATTTAGATGATGTGATGAAGCTGTGTGACACTCACACCCTGCTGATGCTCCGGCTTCAGTGTGTTTCCTCTTTTATCTCATGGAAACGTCTGTGTCTAAATTTACAACGCTGCAAAATGTTTGCTGGACAGCGTTTTGTCGAGCAGGGCGGTGAACGATGTCGTGTGTCAGAGGAAATCTACACGCACTGACTGTAAACATGCATAAAGAACTGTGGATTTATGACGTTTTCTTTAACTTATTTTGCACCAATAAAGAAATAATCATCTTCCGATGGACTCTTTCATAACAGCATGTGAGTCATTTCAGTCCATCAAAATGTTTTTATGGGAATTTGACACAAAAAGATGTTTTTCTAGAACATGTTTGATTACATCAAGTTTGCAAAAATGGAAACAACAACTGTACAAAAGTAAACTGAGGCGTGCACCGTCCAACTTTAACCCAACAAAGGAAACCCATAAATAAGAACAGCTGTATTATTGTTTCCTCGCGGTTCCCCGACCACAGCGTTCCCTGAAAGAGGACAGAACAACGGGAGGTTTTTGTACCTGTGGAGTTTCCCGTGCAGCCGATCAGACCTGAGAGCAGGAACCAAACGTGACAGGAGAACATGTTCAGGAACAAACGTGGAGCTGCAGAGCTGCCGACGCGCCTCGAGCCTGTCTGTCCCTGCACCGCTCTTCCTCTCCTTCCTCGTCCTCAGTGACTCAGGGAGCGTCAGCGGCCTGGAAAATAAAGAGGCGTGCTCCCGCTGCAGGTCTGCTGTGTCGCATGGATCTGATGAGCAGCTGGAAGCTCTCGGATGAAGGACTAGCTGAGATTTTAACCTTTGTTCCTCTGAATGTTTGTGTGAAAGTCAAACAAAAGGTAAACATGATGACATCATGCTCGCAGCAGGAGGCGTGGAAGGTTTGATCCTGAGGATTTCCTGCAATTAGAGAAAAGTCACATGATGAAGGTTAGAAAACACCTGTGACGTTATCATCACCTGCAGAGTGGAATCACTTTAAAACATCACAGACTCGGACTAATGCAGGGAAACATCCCCCTCAGGCTCGCTGTCGGTGCAGCTTGATCACACGGTAAACACACGTGTTGGCTCGAGGCGCTGCAGCAGACACGTGAATATTTCATTATAGTCCTATCCGAGTGTGTGAGTGTGTGTGTGTGTGAGTGTGTGTGTGTGTGAGTGTGTGAGTGTGTGTGAGTGTGTGTGAGAGAGTGTGTGAGAGAGAGAGTGTGAGTGTGTGTGAGTGTGTGTGTGAGAGAGAGAGTGTGTGTGAGTGTGTGTGTGTGAGAGAGAGTGTGTGAGAGAGAGAGTGTGAGTGTGTGTGTGTGTGAGTGTGTGAGAGTGTGTGTGTGTGTGAGAGTGTGTGTGAGTGTGTGTGTGAGTGTGTGTGTGCAGACTGAGACTCAGCTCTTTGACCTTTGACCCCTCTGTTCACTTCCAGGATGGAGATAAGAAGTTCATGCGTGGTAACGAGCAGTACATCCGCCCCTGCGGGTGGAACCGCGCCGCCCTGCGGGTCGTGCAGAAGTACAGCGACGGGGACAAGTGGCTGGGGACGGGGCAGGACGCCTGGCCCGTGTCCTACCAGGGGAAAGACATGGACGGCTCCCTCATCCTGACCCACGGCGGCAAGCCCGACGACCAGCCACAGTTTCTGGATGCCGCCGCCGCCTCTTTGTTAACGGAAGGGACGAAGGGCCGAGGGGTGTACTCCACGCCGGACATCAGGATCGCAGAGAAGTACTGCAAGAGGTTCAAGTCCAGAGTGGACGGGAAGACGTACCAGGTGGTCCTCCAGAACCGCATAAACCCGGAAAAAAGGAAGTCGTGCCAGAGGCAAGACGTCTGGGTGGTGTACATCCCCGAGGACAGCAGCGACGTGAGGGTGAGGGCCATCGTGCAGGAGTCCATCCGCCCGTACGGGCTGCTGCTGAAGCAGGTGTGATGCAGCTGGAACGACCTGCCGTCACTTCAGCTTCAGGATTTTCACATCGTTAACAAAAAACTGAGAACATGCTTCAAATTCCCAACGGTGGGACTAATAAAGGTATCTTATCTTATGCTTGCTCCGCGCTCGTGGCAGGACGAGCTCTTGAAAGCTCTTTATTGGGAGGGTGTGGGATAATAAACCAGTATCGTCTCTTTATCCTCACAGTTTAGTAAAAGTACGGCCGTCTGATCAAAGCTCGCTGATCCGCGCTGCCTTTCAGTCTCCTCACAGCTCCAATCACAACTTTAGATCCAAACCACCCATAAATAGGCCTTCATCTCAAACACAGGAGGGAAGCGTGCAGCGCGGTTAGCGGCGTCCTGCCTCACGCTGGGATCCTTTCGCTCGGTGTAAGAGTTGGAGGTCAGACCTCTGAGTCCCAAACTTCTTCACATTCCTAGTTTTTAAGCCTCGATAGTGAGGCGTCAGTCACAGGTGAGCGCACACCGGCTTTAAGCTTTTACTAATTAAACTTCATGTTGTTATTTTTAATAAGACTTGAGACTAATGAGCTCAGGATAACTTGCTCGCTGCAGTCTAAGAGACGATAGATCGTTATTGTCACAGTTACCATGAAACACATACAGCTGCTGCCCCCTGCTGGTCCCAGCAACGACTGCAGGCTTCAGAGCTACATCCAGGTGTGTTTCCAGTACAGGCTGAGGGTCGTCTGCAGAGACGCTGAAAGTGGCGTCAGATTGAATTCTCGTCCTGTTTTCCTTCCTGTCTGATCAGCAGCACTGGATCCACTCTTTTCTTTGATGATCAGAGAAGGAGATGATTTTGCTTCAGTGTTGTTCTTATTTGAAAATGTTGCTGTGAGGTGTGACGCCACAGGTCTGATGTTTTTCATGGCATCGTTTCAAATGTAAGAATGGAAATGCTAAAGAATCTCTTATATTTAGCTTGTGCGGGGTCTCCACGCTGCCACCAGCTGTGAGAACAGATGTTTTCCTTGTACATGTGAATTTGATTTGCTTGAATGGAATTAAACAGAGCGCACTCATCTGTGTGTGAAGCCTCTTTTTATGATATTTATAAATCTGAAAACCAGGGGTGTCAAACATAAGGGCCGGGGCCCAGAATCGGCCTGGCAAAGACGCCAGTCCGGCCCCCTGGAGGGTCTGGAAACGTGAAAAATGATTAACTGAAGTTTAACAGCTTTCCCTTTAAATAAAGAGCCCCACACTCGTGGATCCTTCCAGAACAAAAGTGTTTGTTTGACCGAGCTGGTAAAACCTGTTCACGCAGGACGCTGTCACCGCGATCACACACCTGACCTACACAGCTGCCACACATCGTTTTCATTTTTAAGCTTCAGTTAGGTTTCATTCTGCAGGATTTGTTATTAGCTTTCCATCTGCATCCTAATCAGAACCACTGTGACGGTGTTAGCGTGACATTTAAACACTACATTTGTGTCAGTACTGCAAACACCTGTGGAAGCATCGTGTTTGTCAGACTCCACAGACTCGTGTCCCGACATACAACAAACCTGTGATATTCATATACGCACCTTTGAACGTAGACAGGAAGTTAGACTCACATCACATCATGAATGAAGGCGCTCCATTACCGCACGCTGCTGATATGTTTGTTCATTACCTGCAGACTCAGTGTGAACTGTTTTATGGGCAGAGTGCTGTAACTCCTGCCCACCACCAGAGGGCAGCGCAGCTCCAAGTAAAAGTGCAACAATCCCACCTGAACTTTGACCTCCGATAAACTGAGCTTGACAAACGTGACACGGCTGAGCTGAGGAAGCATTACAGGACACGTGAAACACACCTGACCACAGGTAGCATCCAGCCATGCAGACGACGCAGAAGGCGAGCAGCGCCGGCAGAAGGCAGAGCCCCAGACTCAAACACGGCTGCTTCATCCGGTCTGTGGACGACCGCCCGGCACCTCCTGCAAACACACAATCACACACACCATCATTTATTCTGCTTCTTTTCACATCGTTGTTCCAGCCGTATAAACCCACACACCGGCTCACTGTGTGGGTTTGAAAGGTTTCACACTGATTACAGGAAACTCATAACTGGAGGAAAAATGAGCTGCGGCGGTGCCGTGGGGGCGGAGACTCGTCTTTACAGGTCAGCGGGAAATCCTAAAGAGGCCTTGGTGGTGTTTCATAGAGAGAACATTAAAGCTTCTCCTGTGATAAAACCAACCACGAGTGACGCTCAGCTGAGCGCCCGACTATCAAGAGACAATACATAAAAATATCAAACTCAAAACAATTAAATACGTAAAAACTCAGATCAATAGAATAAAAATAGAATAAAACGTACTTTTATTTCACAGTACGTCCTGATGTGACGTCTCACTGCAGTTTCTTTCACACCTTCGTTCCAACAACACAAACTATTAAAGGTGTCAGCACGCACACGGAAACCGCCGTGTGTTCGTGTTCAGCTGCTCGGCTGCAGACGCGGGGACGCGCGGTGACAAGATTCAGGGGGGTGACGACTCACCCCACTCGTTTTTCCACACGTGTGTGACGTGTAGCATGTTTGTCACAAAATGTCAGTTCATGGAACGCAGAGAGCCCCGACCCCGGGGCCCCCGAGGGGCCCCCTGCCTCCGTTCTGCTGTGGGGGGCAGCTTGCTGTCCCATCAGCTGATCAACAACACAAACATCCTAGAACAGAAATCCTACTGCACCTTTCAAACTTTGTCAACATCAAGTTTTCTTCTGATCCACGCGGCAAAAAACTGCTGCAGTTTGTTTATTTCGAGTAAAATCGGTGCGTTCGTGGTCGGAAACAAGTCTGCGTCTTTGAACATCTCCACATTTCCACTTTTAGACACAGGAACGGTCCCCACCTTCTTCACAAGTCAAACGTTTGTGCTGGTTTGTGATGAACGAGCTTTTATTTATGCAGTTATTGGAAACTTGAGCCTCGACAGTTTCACGTCTTTAGCTGCTCTGAGAGGAAACGTGCCAGCATTGATCTGATGGTTCGGTTTTTCTGAATGCAAACTGTAGTTTATTGGAAGCATTAAAAATATTTTAAGTTAACCCCGTTTGTTACTTTAAGAGTGTGATCATGATGAAAACTATCCAGCACTGGTTTATGTGTCACAACTTTTTCACAGTAAAGAAACAGGCTGGGTGACTTTGGATAGAAACTTTTATTAGTGTCTTTAAAACACAATCAGCACACACATGCAGCGCACACATTTCACATCGATTTTGTTTGATCTGAAGAAGGTGCAGCACAGGTCCACAGACCCGGAGGATCGATGCCAAGAACTGAAGCTCGCTGTAGCCTAACGAGTGACTGAGACACAGAGACGCCGACTGTCGGAAAAACTCAGTGAAGACAAAAGAAGTTTGTGATCTAATCCCCAGCTGTGAACGCAGCCCGGACAGCTGCACATGCTGCAAACAGAAACATCCAGCTGGAGCTCTATAAGAGATCAGGAGGTCACGTCTCCAGAGCATAACGCTTACTGACTGGCGCCGCCTACAGGTCCACGCTTGATATCTGCTCCTGTGAGCCAGAAGTCATACTTCCTGGGAAGTGTTCATAAATCGTTTTAAAGAAAGAATCCACGGTCACGGCCTCACTTTCATGTTCCACTGATCTGTTTCCATAGTCATCCTCAACTCAGCATGTAAACATTTATGATCAAATACTCTCAAAACTGTTTTAGAAAATCCAGAAAATGATTTTAAATCTTTCAGCCTCCTGACCAAGTCTGACAGCCTGGACGAACATCTGAAAAAGGAAATCTTACATCTTCATCGTGTATCGTGAAATGTTCCTGCTGTTTAAAACGTTTCTGAGCTCAGCTCGAGCTGACAGCAGAAACGTCTGATCGTCTTACCGTCCACAGTCAGCTGAATTCCTCTGTTAACGTGCATCTTATCTGCAAACCTCCCGATGCAGAAGTACAGCCCAGCATCCTCCTCCTCCACCTCCTGGATCTCCAGGCTGACCAGGCCGGTCTGCAGCGTCCCGTCACACTTCATGCGATGGTTGTTTGTGTGATGGTCAGTGGTGCCACCAAACCTCCCCTCTTTAACAGTTAACAGAGGCTGCAGCTGCTCTGAGCGCAGCAGGTACCAGGTGATCTCATCTCTGTGCGTCATGTTACAGAGTAGAGAGACGTTGTGGCCCACCGGCACCACCAGGGTGGAGCTGTGAACAGGTGAGGCTGAAGCCAGGTGACATCCCGCAGCACCTGAGGAGTGAGCACAGGTCAGGACAGCGTGCACCTGAAGGCTCCTTCATATCACAGAAAACACAACAGGTCACAGGTGTGCGCTCCACAGCTCGATAGAGCTCACAGTTCCTGCTTCATGGTTTTCCACAGAGAAATCATTTCCCCATTAATACTGTTAAGTTTACTGCACATGCTCACAATGAGTCAGGCTGAGGGTCGTGATCAGCATGGAAACTGCTGCGACTGCTGTGCACACCCACAGCTTTAGAAATCTTTTTATTACAAAAACATTTTTTGTCAGACTAAAATTGATCTGAAGTTATATTATCAGACAGAAAATAACCGTCCAGCCACTAAAGATGTACCCATTACTCCAGATAAACAGGTTTCGTTATAAAAATAATAATATGGATAATATAAAATAATAAAAATAAAAAGCACAATTTTTCATAATTCACAAAGTCTCATCAGCAGCTTTAAGCCAGGAAAAGATGCTGAATGATGCTGTTAATGTCCAATAAAACATCAGTGACTTTAAATACGAAAATCCATCAAAGTCTGAAATGCTGCCCAACAAAAACTAAAGTGGAAATAGAAACAAACATTCATAGAAATAATTTATCACAAAAGAAAAACAAGAAGACTGCAGACACAAGTATTAGTATGACTTTCTTAATATTACTATAACAATAATAATTATACATATTTTCAGTACCTTATTATCAGTAATATGAGCATACTTTCCTCTCTATATATTGTAAATCTAACTATTGTGATATTGTAAATAATTTACAATATCACAATAGTTAGATTTACAATATCTAACTATAGTTTAAGATTTTTTTCAATGCTAAAATCTGAAAAAAGCAAAAAATCAAAAACACCATCAGGTTATCGAACACTGGGCGACAACAGGATGATTAATCCAGAGAAATGAAAACAGATCCCCTTCCAACATACCCGAGTCTTAGTATTATTATTATTATTATTATTATTATTATTATTGTTGTTGTTGTTGTTGTTGTTGTTGGACAAAGCCTTAAAAAGAACAAGAGCAAATCTGAAACTTGTGAAACTTGTAATTTCTCGGTAAAGAGAAGTGAAAGAAAAACGCGTCCAGCTACAGGGAGGGGTGAGTCCCAGGACACCCAGCAGGCCTCGGGTCTGCACCGGGGTCAGGGACCGAGGTCAGCCTGCAACACTCTGCCCCCTCAGTGTGGGGCGTGTCCCGACTTTCACTGGTCACTTGAACGTAAACACGCGATCATCATGAGACAAACTAACGAGCAGAAACACAACAAACACCTGCAGGAGACCCGGATCCCTCGGGCCCTGGAAGGTCTGCATTCTGAGCCGGAGACTCACTGACACACCCAGGAATTCTATAACGAGCCTGGAATCCCGCAGCCATTCTGAGAGGGAGTCCTGCACAGAAATCGAGATAAAAACAAACATAAATAAAATAAAACTCACACAGAACGGTCAGGATCCACGTGACACCCGCCATCATTTAAATACAGATCAGTTTTCTCCAGGTGTGCTGCACGAGCTGTCTGCAGCGCGAGGAGCTGACGCTCACAGACACACAGACTGACACACAGACTGACGGCGCAAAGTGTTTTAATGTGGGACGGGGAAGTGAGCGGGACTTGACTGAGCAGCAGCAGAGACCACCAACACGTCTGCTGGAGCGCTAAACGGAAGGCACGCGCTGTTCCCGCGAACTCACGCCGAGGCGTCAGCAGCTTCACGCGCTCCGCTCAGCTGAGCCGGTAAGTTTCGTTTCTGCAGAGCTCCGCGCCGCAGCTCACGGTTGCTTCAAAATAAAAGCCCAGTGATAATATGAATCGGATAATCTTCTTTTCTCCGCTTTTTACAGCGTTTTTCACAAAATGTGAACTAGCAGCGACAATGCTATAATGATGATGATGATGAAGAACGGCACTCGGCACTGAATTTGATTCCGTGCTTTTAATTTGACAGGTTCGCAGGAAATCGAAACGCACGCGCTGGGTTGATAAGCCGTCAGAGGAGCCGAGAGTAAACAGAGTGGAGAAACCGCACGCGGGGGACGGAGAAGAAGACTGAGCAGTTTCCACGAAGCGGACATCATGAAAACGGTCACCGAGCGGCTCCGGTACGACACACTGCACTTCCGGTCTGAGCAACAGCTGCTCCTGTTTATTTTATTATTTAATTTAATTTTTATTCAGCAAACATGCAGGTTAATGTCTAAACATGTTGTTATTCGGATATGAAAGGATGAGTGAATTCAGACTGCGTTTAAGGGGCATTCTGCAGGAGAAATAACCATAAAATATTATTATTATTGTTGTTATTATTATTATTATTATTATTATTATTATTAATGATGATGCTGCGGACCTGCAGGGCGGGACCTGCAGGGAGATCGCTGCGCATGGCAGTTTCGTTACTGAGGAAACGAGTCCGTGGGTAGAAATGAAACTTTGCCTGGATCATGTGGAAGCTGAGTTTCGTTTCTGAGCGCTGGTCAGAGTTAAGTTTCACTGCAGCTCACAGGCAGGACCGCTACAAACAGCTGGCTGGACAGATTCCACATGATAGGCGTTATAAGACAGGAAGCTATGGCACGTGCACTTCTCTCTAATGTGTTTCTAGTGTGTTTCTAATGACCATTTAAGGTGAATAAAGAGAGCCTCATGAATAAGCTGATCGTCTAACCCCGTTATGACGCATTTTCTTGTGTTTCTTTAGGTTTTTCATACTCATACTGTGTCTCCACACCGGAGCTTTAGTTGGTGAGTATCAGCGTCACACTCTGAGGTCAGAACTGGTCAATCCCACGTCCCTGTTCACAGGATGTTCTTGCTGTGTTTCTTTCTGCAGACTCCTCTTCTCTTTCCTCCGCCATGCTGTCCATCTCCTACATGGCGGGGGACCAGGCGATCCTTCCCTGCAGCTGGAAGTCCCACCTGGGTGAGGCGGCTCTGCCCGTCTGCCACGTCCAGTGGACGACCCCGTCCAACACGGTGTTCGAACAGCGCGGGGACGAGAAGTGGCAGGCGCCGGAGTTTGAGGGCCGGGTGAGGGTGCCCGAGGAGAAGCTGGGGTCAGGGAATTGTTCCCTGATCATCAGCGACGTTCAGCTCGGAGACACGGGGCGCTACGACAGCTTCATGGTGGTGGACGGAAAGAGGTCCGCAAGAACTCGGGTCTTCATTCAGGGCGTCAGGCTGCTTGTGAGCGGTTAGTGTTTGACATCGTCTCCTTGGAGGCTGGACAGTCTCCTTCTGATGTCGTTCCTGGAGTATTTCATCTGTTCATTGATGGCTCTTTTGTTTCAGATCATAAATCCTCTCAGTTCCATCAGCCGGGCGAGGACATGGTCCTGCAGCTCTACACCCGTCACTCAGTCAGAGTGGTCTTCCAGGCCAGGTGAGCTGCTCACCTGCCGACAGGTGGAGACGCTGGTGGTGGATTTGTTCATCTCCCACCCTCACGCTTCCTCCCCTCAGCTCTTTATTTCCCCCGCTGACGTAAAAGCTCGCCTACTGCTTAATAAAACGGCAGTTTGTGTCTCGAACCAAAGGCTGCTGGCTGCTCCGACTCCTCCTATAATTGGTGCTGACAGAGACAGAATGTGGCGTTTGGGGAAAATGATTCGTGCAAAGCAGAAACTTTCACGGCAGACAGATTTCATTTTGGGATAAACCCACAGATGTGCTGCTGCACAGAGCATGCACTGCGCCAGGATGCAAGGGGAGGGCGGGGGAGATCTTCTTACAGGGAGGCAGACGTTTGTGGCTCTGTGGGCAGACTGATCGCGTTGCTGTTGCTTGTGCACTCTGAGGACGACGCGGCGTTTTTGTTCTGACAGCATTTACATTCTCCACAGAAACGACTCAGCGTGGTCGGACCTGTGGATGAGGGGCGATAACAACAGTCAGCGCCTGGAGAAACACCTGCTGCTCGAGCAGCTGACGGTGAAGAGGTTAAAACCATCAGATGAAGGAATCTACAAAGTCCTGGACCAACATGGCCTCGCCGTCAGCACCGTGCAGCTCTCCGTGGATGGTGAGCCTATCGATTGATCTTAAATGGGATTACCTAGATTACTTTAAATGAGTTAGTACTGCAGGTTGTACTCCTGAGAGTCGCTGAGTGCACGTCGTATGGACAAAAGCACTGACAGGAGCTGCTCGGCTGTGGAAACTCAAACCGTGAAGCTCTTGTGTGTGAACGCCACAGGGCGTTTTGTCCACACGGTGAATCTGAGCACCAGCGCCGTCTACGATTAACAGCGCTCGACAGCGTGGGAACGCTCCGCTTTGCCGCAAACGGAGAATTAAATTACAAACTTAAAACAGGAAATGGGTTTTTTTTTTTTTTGGACCGCGTCGGCGTTTCTGCTGAAGAACCAGAAATAGAGAAAGTTGAGCCCCGAGCGTCCAACAGAGTCAGCTGACGACACAGAATAACTGAAGCAGTTTAACCTGTGCTTTTACTGGAACTATCGTGTGCATCATCATCACATGTACCTGTCTGTCCCACAGCACAAGCCCGTCCTGACCGGAGAGTCCAGGAGAAGCTGGAGTACGTTCCCACAGGTGAGGAAAGCGCCTGCATGGTGCCCATCAATCAGGCATCTGAAGAGTGATTTTTAAGGACATTAAATTAAAAAATCCTCTGTGTTCTCACTTTGATGTCTTTCCAGATGTTGCTGCCAAAAGCAGCTGTTCAGCTCTTCTCACCCTGGCGGTTCTCGTCCTGAGTTTCCAAACTCTTCAGCTTCTCTGAGTTTCCTCTGCACGAGCTGCACACGTGACTCCTGCACATTACAGGCAGCAGATGGTGACAGTTCACCAGTTTGAGAGCTGTGAATCTAAAGTGTGTGTGTGGTGCCCGGTCTTCAGAATGAGTGTGATAAGAAAAGAGTGTGTTCATTTTTTCTTGTGACCCTCAATCATCGGCCGGCTTCTTAGAAACGCAGCCGCGGCTCAGACTGCGACGCAGGTTTGTTCTTAGGTGTAGATTGACACTACGATGGATGGAAACCTGCAGCCGGCCTCTGTTTATTCACTTCTAAATTAAGCCGCGCTCCGATCCTGATAAGGCGTCATTTACAAAAGGCACCTTTTAGGTTGCCAGATTTGAGAAAATCCTCCTCCATCATGACTCTTTGCCTTTTTAGCTCTTTATTTCATTATGGAGACCCCTGCAGTGAAGTGATCACCTCTGTGCTAGAGAAGCACCAGCCCTCGTCACCACGGAAACCACTGCCGATCCAACGGAGACACAGATGGAACAGTTTCACTCATTTTGCTCGGAAAATGAGTGAAAGATTCAAAACAACATGTCAACGAATCAGAGAAACTCTGACCTGTTTCACCAAAACTTCTCCGCACAAAACAGTCAAACAGCTCAGCGTGAACGTCTGCATCTGCAGATCCCATTAGTAATGATAGTACCACCACATACACTGTAAAAGTCCTCGGAGCTCTAAAACACTCAGAAGACGAGCAGAAAATGACCTGAAACGTTTATGTTTGGGTCTCCTTCACTGACCGTGGGAAATCAGCACTTTCCTGCCCAGGGGTCAGAGTTTATTGGGGGGGGGGGGTCACCGTGATAATGAGGTAAATGAATGAGGCAAAGTGTGATGACGGAGGGCGGAGCACATCAGCAGCTCATTAACCTTTTGGAAATGGTGCCTTATGAGGAAGTGAGGAAGTAAGAATGTAAAGAGAGATATATGTAATATATACGATATATTTTGTTAAATGTACTAAATGGACAAAAAGCACTGTCAGATTCATCTATGTGTGAAGAGTGTCTGCGCACAAAGGGCGGAGCCACTGCAGATCAGTCAGATAAATCCAGAGAAGATGAAAACGTTTTCAATGAAAGTATTACATTTAGAATAAAACTCGTTACAGTTGCAACAAAACTCTTTTTTTAATCGCTCGTTGCCCCGTGTCCAACATCACCATGGCAACAAAGACGCCGCCCGCTGTGGATGAACAGATCAGCTGGTGTTTCGGGCTCAGGGGCGTCTGTGGTGTGCTGAGCTTCGTCCAGCCTCATCGTTTTCCACTGAGAAACACTTTAATGATTTTTCATAATTTCAAGTTCTTTTAATCTTCTTTAGCCTTTTCTCGTCACTTCTCTGCACTTAGAAGCCTTTATCGATGTGGTCGCTGTAGCTTTGGGTCGTAGCTTTAAACAGTCTTTGATTCTGTATGCGCTCAGACGCAGTTAAATCAAACGATGTCCGAGAGCTTCAGTTATCGGTCTGGTCGCACCGCGGTGCGTTTGAGGACGCTGTGGTATTTGCTGTGTTGTGGTGTTGGTGACATTCAGACTGCTTTCCATGAACTATAATCATTTAAATTATTACGATGATCTTTGTGAATAACAACAATAAATAAAGCGCACAGACAGACTGGTGTTGTACTCTCATTGTTAGACTTCACACAGATTCACGTCAATAACACGACACACTGTCTCCTCACCAACAAATCTATTAAAACACTCTCCCACACTGTCAGAGAACCACATGTGGATTCATCCGCCACTGAAAATAGTTCCCATAAAACCGCACCATTCCCCAGATTGTACAGCATATAACGAGATCGTGTTAGCGTGATGGATCACTTCTATGAAACACCGCCAGCGCTGATGTTTTCAGACTGTAGATGAAAGATGGAGTGGGATCATGTGACGAAGCTTAAATATGATTGTTGGATCAAAGCATGGAGCCACAGCACAAGCAAACACGGTGCACAGGTCCAGTTAGCAGCTGCCTGTCAGTCAAAGAGGCCACGCCCCTAATCAATTACAGTTTAAACAGGTGAGTTAGAAAATACAGTTTTGTAAACCTGTAACACGGTGCTCACTGCTGGGAGTCGGCCTCTGGTGGTCGTGGGAGGAACTGCAGTGTTTCACAGCTCCACACTGGCTGGAGGCTGAGACTGAACTAAGCAGACCTGCTAATCTAGTTTAAATGTAGTTTTTCTAATGAAGCTGGTGGGCGGAGCCTCACAGAGACGGTGGGCGGAGCGAGTCTAAACACTGGACCTGCTGAACAAACATTTTGTCCTTTCAGCGTCAGTCTCAGTAACCTGTTCCACAGACGCGCTCCCGTCTGATTAGAGCAGCGAGCCAATCAAAACAGCTGATAGATTATTGATCATCTCACAAACTGAAGCTCAGTCACTGAAAGCTGCACGGCCTTCATCGCGTCTATCGGGGATCATCATTTTATTCTTCATTCAATGTGATTAGACATTCATTTACATTGGGTTGAATTAGCATTTAATTGGAAGTTTTGCTGTAACAGAAGCCAAAGAACCCTGCACACCCCCACAGTCACTGTAGAGCCAGGAGGGCCAAACGTTTCCCTGACAGGGGCAACGTGGCCGAGCGTCCGTGGTTCACTGGCTTCTTCACAGTTTTTAAAGTCATGGAATTAAAATTCACTCTCCTCCGCTGACCTTCGACACGGCTCCTTCATCTGGAGACAAAAGTCTTTAACACTCTCCAAACTTCACAGAAAAGAAGACGAAGCAGCGGTCGGCTGCAGAGAACCGTCACCTCCACCCGCAGGAGCGTCGGTGCGTTCGCCGGCTCTCTGACCCCCGACCCCGACGAAGGCGTCCCGTTAGAAGTTGGGTTTGTGCTTCTTGACCTCCACCATGAGGTGGTGGAGGTTGATGAGCTCGGAGCGGACGGCCAGGCTGCGGAACGTGGGCTGGTTCAGGACTTTGTGGAAGCCGTGGTAGTACTGGATGAGCTGCGTCAGGGCGCCCTGCGGGAGGAGGATGTGACTCACGTTAGTAAAACCAAACACATAACCTGAAGTTCAAACCATTTACAGCGCGTTTCTTCTCAGCTTGTGAAGCTGAACTAGAACCACAGGTTTGTGTCCCCACTGTGTCTGAAGCAGGCGTCAGGCTGTGTGTGGGCGCATGAAACACGCCTTATTAATGCGAGCGCGCTCAGAGCCTGAAGCAGAGAGCCGGCGAATTAGAACCCGGCTGTGTTGGTCGTGCATCCCGCTGGTGATCGAGGTGAACGAGGCAAAAATCTGAAGAGTAACATGAACTGTGAACTTATGATAGCGTGTCACAGCTGTGATCGCTGCCTCGCAGCGTGTCCCTCAGGCTGATCCACTCTAGCACTGATGTTGCTGTGACTGTGCAGTCAGACATCGTTGTTCCAGTTTTTACTGATGAGTTCTGCTTCTCAAATATGAAAATGTGCATGTTTTGTTCTCAGTTTAATCTTCTTTAACATTGTTTAGTGTGTCTCGTTTCACTCTCACGCCTCTGCAGGTTATTTTATACTTTATTGACCATTTATTTTTCTTCACTGTTTTGCATCCGTTTGGAGACATTTTCTCACTTTTTGGACCTTTTGTGTCGTTTTAAATCTTTGTTTTAAATTTTGTGTCACTTTGTAGCCAGTTTGTATGTTTTTGTCCCTTTGGAAACCTGGTGTCACGGCACAGTTAGCCCACAGAGGCTGTGTGGCACACCTGCCGCCCGGCTCACCTGGATGATGCTGGTTCCATTTTTGAAGTTGGTGAAGGACCTCATGACGTCCTGACTCATCGCCTCCACCGACTGTTTCCATGTGCTGGAAAACCCCCGAACCAGCTGAGTCTGATGCACACACACACACACACACACACACGCACACACACACACACGCACACACACACACACACACACACACACGCACACACACACACACACACGCATTAAGTTTCAGTTTCCGTGTGCATGCTGACTCTCGGTTTCCTCGCCATCGTGTTGCTGGGGTCAGCTTCCTGTCAAACATGCTGGTCAAACAAAACAAAGAACCACAGCGAGCACACACGACGTGGTGAACAGGAAGTGGGAACCTGACTCTGACTGACATGAAAGCACAAAGACTGAAAGGGAAATAAAGCTGCTGGTTACTCTGGAAAACAAAACCCAAGGCTGAGGTGAGAGAAGCACGCTCGCTCTGCCGCTGACAGCCGCAGGCGATGACGCGGAAACCAAAACGAATAACCAGCTCGATTTACTCCTGAATCTAATCCGGCCACGTCATCATTACGGATTCTGACATCACGGTGAGCTAACTGTAGAAATAACAGACAGAAAGGAATCGGCCAATCAGACGACAGCTTTACTCACATCCTCTTTCAAACACAGCAGGCCAAAGCACACCATCTCACATGTGACACCTGAACCTTCACAGCAAAGGTAAAGATATTTTCTCACCTTCGTCGTTCTTCAGCCGGTCCAGCTGCCCTTTCTCCATCAGCGCCTCGGCCTCCTTCACAAAGGCGATCATCCCTCCGAACGGCGGAGAGAGAATCTCCTCGATGAACTCCTGCAGAGGACGAGAGGAAGGAAGACGACAGGATCAGGAACTAAAGTGTTCGAAGTTACTTAGAAATCTAGTAAAAGTACTTTCAAGCTTAAAACAGCCGTTCACGTGCACGCTGACCTAAGCTGTTACACGTTTATAAAGTGTGAAAATATTTTCACCACAGCAGATCACCTGCTGCCTCCACCTCCAACCCTCTGCATGTCCTCCTGCACTACATCCTCTGAGGTCCTCCTCGTCTCCTCCTGCCTGGCAGCTCCATCATATCCTCCCTCCCTCCTCTGCACATGCTCAGACCACCTCAGCCCCTCTGACTCGTAGCTGTCCCTCTCATGGACTCATCTCCATCCTTCTCACTCTCAGTGAACATCTGAACCTCTGCTGCTCGGCCTCCACTGTCTCCAAATCACCACAGCAGATCTCACTACCATCTTTAAACAGTCTCTCACCCTTGCTGCTCTCCTTCTGTCACTCGTCTCCACCCGCTCCACCCTACCTGCACTCTGTTCTTCGTCTCTCTTTGGAAAGTTGACCCCAGGTATTTAAGCTCATCCACCTTCTCTGCCTCGCTACCTGCATGCTCATGTCTCCACTCTGGCTACACATCACAGTGTCGTCTGCTCCACCCTCACAGACTCCTCCCCCACTGTCACATGCAATATATCTGCATCCAGCAGATGTCGCTATTGGGTGACAGGCTGTGCACGCAGTACTGAGAACGTGCTCCGTACGTCCTCTGTCAGCAGCCAAAGTGAATTATTATTCAGTAATGCCAGTGTTCACAAGATGCTTCCAAAGGACGGACCACACACACACACACACACACACACACACACACACACACACACACACACACACACCACACACACACACACACACCCACACACACCACACACACACACACACACACACACACACTTTAAACAGAAGTGACATAAAACTATTCAAAGTTATTACTTGCAGAAGGGAAATATGAAAACCTTCTGACATAAGCATGACATCAGAAACCTGAGTGAAACAGCTGAGTGACCCACGGTGACGATGATGATCATATTTACCTGAGTTCTGGCCAGCAGCAGCTGCTGGAAGCCTTCCACCTCTTTACTGTCGTCTGCTGCCCTCTCCTGGACACAGCAGAGAAACACCAGCAGCACCATCAGCCACACAGAAATCCAACTTTTCTTTTCCATAAACAGAATATTTTCCCCACGTCAGCACAGATCCTGAGGGGCGTGTCGTGTTGTTGATGGTGCTGGTCGTGGCGCTCACCATGAGGACGCTGAGCATCATGTCGTAGTTGTTGATGAGGAAGATGAGCTGATCTCTCCTCGACGGGAACTCTGCCGCCATCTTCAGCACGAAGTTTTCAACCTCAATCTGGAGACAGAATCACAACAAATCACTGAACACAAATTCAGTCTGTGTGTGTGTGTGTGTCTGTGTGTGTGTGTCTGTGTGTGTGTCTGTGTGTGTGTGTCTGTGTGTGTGTGTGTGTTACCTGCAGCTGTCCCAGCAGAGCGTTGGTCCTCTCGTTGGGGAACGTCTGGTTGATGCTGACGATGGCTGAGGAGAACTCTGCGTAACGGCGAGTGATCTGAAACCACACACACACACACACACACACACACACACACGTGTGAGTGGAGTGTGCAGCAAACACAGTGCTGTGCTGTGTGATGTGCAGTGTGTGTACGTACGTAGTGTGGTCTGGTGTCCAGTACTCCCAGTTTCTGAGGGTCTGTGTTTCTGATGCTGCTGATGTTCATCTCCAGAATGAGCTCAAACCTCGGCCACAGCAGCTCCAGCACCGCCTCCCAGTACCTGACAGACAGCACCAACACCATCAGCCTCCATCAATCTGAACACCTCCCTCTCTGCAGAGGAAGCGTCTGTACACCGCCCAGCTGCAAACAGCCGTGTGACACCGGCTGATGTAACCACGAGCACTTATCAGCTAAACAGGAGATGGTGGGATCGGGAGGAGGTGGAGACACTGAAAGAGTCAGAGTACAGCAACACTACAGGAACAGAGGAGGAGGAGACTGACTTGTCGAGAGCTGGGATGTTCCTCTTGGCCGTGATGGCTCTGAACCGGAGGATGATGTGGATGCAGAGGAAGACGGCGATGCTGTCGTAGCAGTCGGACACGTAGGTGGACATGCTCTTCTGCAGGAGGAGACAGAGAGCGGGGCTGACATGCGCTGCAACCACGAGCAAAAAAAGCTCCTGAGCGACAGTCGTGGAGCTTTTTTGGTTTTTATGACTTTAAGTTTGGTTTCATGTAAGCTGAACTGTGACCCCCAGAAGGGTTACCTACAGGAACACCAGTGGCTCCACTTAAAAACATCACTGCATGCACTTCCCTTTTACCTGGATTTCTTCAGCATTTCCAGGACTGAGATGTTTGCAGATTGCAGAGCAAAACTCAACATGTTCCTCCTCTCTGCTGAACATGTGTTTAGTTTATCACCCGAGGATTCTGCTTAGTGACAAACTCACGGAGAACACAGCTGTTTATACCAGCGTGTCCTGTTACATCAGTGCTTTGAATATCAGTGATAGCAAAACAAAACACGCTGCTCGGGATCCAAAGCCTGTTTATGACAAGGTCGGATAATAAATGTGGTTTGAATTGACCAAACAAACGTTTCTGCTGGAGAGGAAAGAGAGGGAAGCCTGCAGCTCTGACAGGAGGCGGGGTTCTCACCAGGAACATGCTGAGAGTCTTTCCCATGATGCTGTTGAAGAGGTCGAGGGCGGAGTTTCCAGCCACCATGAAGAAGTCAGACAGGAAGAGGTATTCTCTGCAGCCGTTGTCGAGCAGAGCGTAGTGCTGGCTGCGAAACAGCGTCTCATAGGGATACTGTGGAGAGCGAGAGGGAGAGTTAGACCTCAGACGACCTCGGTGGCACAGATCGGCTGCACAGACTGTAGCTAAACGATGGACATGCTATGATGTCACCCATTAGTTTGTGAAGTCTCGTGTTCAGCGCAGTGACTGTCACCGTCTCGAAGTCTGAAACACAATTTGCTGAGCGCAACAACAAAAACTACACATTTCTATGGCAACAACCTGTCAATCACCGAGTGGACACGCCCTTAAAGGACGCCCCCTTCAGCTGACTACAAAGACTGCAGACCTCTGCAGCTGTTTCCGTCTGTGTCTATGACGAGGTCACTGCTCCCAAACTGCAGTGAAAATTAAAAATCTCATAATCTGCCACAAGATGTCAGCGCTGAGCAACGGAGCTCAGCTGGAATTTAAACTGGATCCTAAAATCATTCCCGTCTCATTAAAAGCGAGGACCTGCATCCTGTTTGTCCTGAAGGGGGCGTGTCTCGTGCTACAGACGCTGGTTTGTTCACAGGGAATTTTATTTTCTTGTAAATGGCAGATCTGCAGGATGCGTTTGGGTTGAGCAGCTCGATCTGCGGCAGCGCCGTCTCTCACCCTGCTGTCTCCTCTCTGAGCCGTGTGCGGGACCAGGATGGGCCCCTCCAGCTCGGCCGGGCTCAGGATGGCCCCCCTCTGGCCCAGAGTGAAGATGGTGTTCCTGCTCTTCAGAGACGGTTTGGAGAAGAAACCTGCAGCGGCGAGTCAAGGAGCCTCAAACAGTCTGAAAATGTGAAGCAGGCGTCAGAGCGCCCGAGCGCCGCGCACACGGTGAGCAGGCGTGACACAAACAACAGACCATGAAGGATATCTTTCTTGGCTGTGTCCTCGACTCCCATCAGGTCGTCTTTGTCTGCCACCTCCTCGTACTGCGGGACACGCAAACATCAGCTGTTATCCACACGAAGACGGCGTGCAGCCACGTCGACACAAACACAGCGAGGGCGCGACCCCGCCGCTCACCCACCTGCACTTTGAGCAGCCTGCCGCTGTACGACTTGAAGTAACTGTAGTAAATCTTGCTCATGGTGTCCACGTACTCGTCTCGGATCTCCTTGGCGACCGTTCTCTCATTGGCCAGAAGGAACTGGTAGAAGAACCTGCAGTGAAAACAACAACAGCATCGATCAGCTTCTTCACTTTGTGTCCAGTTATTTCTAACGCACAATTAAAAACAAGTTCAACACAACAAAAAAATAACAAACAGACGGTAAAAAGATGGGTGGAGCTTCCAGGTCAGGAAACAGAAGGTGGAAACGTGATGTCAGCGAGTGACGTCGCCATGACTACGTCCACCTTTAAGTTTAAAAACTCACCTCAAATAAAACTAACGCAGACGTGTGCGCAGACTTATCAACAGTCCAACATATCGAATAATTCAAATCAATAAAAACAAAACTAAGTGTAGTGTTGGTAAAGCAGCTGAGGATACAGAGGAGTCTCTGCACAGACTTCACCTGGATCCGCCCCGTGAACCACGCGGCGCTCAGGATTCTGCGTCACGTGACAAACGAGGAGCGGAACAGAAACGAGTGCTTTTAAAGACGTTTCAGTTCCTCGGGTGTAAAAATGGACTTCTTGCTCTTTAAATGGACAGAAGCAACAAAGAAAAGACGTCTGTAGGTTCAGCGTAATGCAGACTGTGAGTGGACCCGAACGCTCAGATTTATGTCAGAAATGTGCAGAAGCTCAGCTGTGCTCACCGGTACTTCAGCAGAGTGTTCTGTGGGATCTGGTAGTTGGTCATCGGTTTCCTGAAGGAGTAAATCTTCTGAAGAATGAACTCTCTGATCTTTGACACGGCCTGAGGAGAACAAAGAGTGTGGATATAAGCACAAAGATATAAAACCTGATAAGTAGGCAGAGGAACGAGTTAAACGCCTTCGTGTGGCGCGGGTACATTAAGCGCTCTGCCTGAAAGACCTCAGGAGAGCAGCTCAGCAGGTTTCTGACTTATTAATGAGGACTTCCTCTCATTTCCTGTTTGTTATGGACTTTAACTGTAAACGTGATTCCAAAGAGTCGGGAACTTTCCTCCCGCCCGTCTCTCACCTTGAGTTTGAGGCGGTCCACGATGTCCTGGATGTCGGAGCAAGCCAGCGTCTCTCTGAAGCTCAGCTCTTTGGCAAAGTTGATCTTAGTGTTGAGCTCGTGGAGCTGCTCCAGAAACTCCTGCTCCGTCACAGGACTGTCCAGGATGGTGCTGCCAACACACACGACCAGCAGATTAAGTCATGCAATCACCACAAACCACTGATGGCTGGTTAATCCATCAGGAACAACTCTGAGGTCTCTGCAAACTGAGCGCCATCCAACAAATCACTCATTACAATACAGACACTTTTTCTTTGCGGCGACAGCCGTCAAACCTACGAGATCATGGCCCCGGGCACCACCAGCTCATCCACCAGCTGGCTGAGGTGGCTGCGCACGGCCTGCCGGTTCTTCAGCCGCACGTTCATGCTGACCGACTGCTGCTGCAGGGTCTGGATCTCACTGCTGATGGAGGACAGGTCGCTCTGGAAGCCGCTCAGCATGCCCTCCATACGCTGAGAGACACACAGCCGTGAGGTTAGACTGAATCTGCTTTAACAAGAGGACAGCGCTCCCATGACAGTTTGAAAAAGTGCCCGCCTCTCACTTTCCCACTTGAACTGGACCCACCTAAAAACTTAACTCAGCACCGAGGACGGAAAAGAATCCGCTCTGATGCAGAGCGACGAGTAACCACAGCAGCCGTGCTGCTTTTAGTGAGCACACTGTGACGTAAAGCGCCTTTATTACTTTAAGCTTGTGTGCAGAAAACTGAAGTAAGGGTGCAGAATGACAGGAAGGCGTCTCTCAGGTACATCTGTCCCGCCTCTGCACAGCTGCACAGTGAAGACGTGTTCTTCTGCTGACGCTTCTGTGAGAACTCAGCTCAGAAGATGTGACAGGGAAACAAAACACGTCTCGACTCCTTCACAGAAAACTCAAATCACTCTCAAATATCCACAAGACTCCATCCCAGCAAGAGTTTTCTGTATAAATGTCACACACATGATTATTTTCTGTCTGTCTCAGTCGTCTCACCTCCAGGATGGAGTCACAGGCAGTGATCTGGTTGTGCAGCAGGGCGATGTTCTGACTCTCTTTGATGTCTGCACGATGAGCGCTCAGGAAAACATCATCAGTGACGGGTGTTAGTGTGTGGTTATACATTATTAGGTGAAGGTATTCAAACTGGGAGCTGTGAAGGATACAGTCTTTGATGGAGGCTTGTTCAATCCTCTGCAGCTCTGCCTCCACCTGTTTGGAGTACTGACGGAGGTCGACACCCTGAAAACCGACGGGAGGAAACTGAAATGTATTATCTGAGCTTTGAAAGAGGAAGTGTAGAGTAATAATTATTTTATAGAACCTTTCAAAACAAAAGTAACAAATCCCTTCAAATTAAAAGCGTCAGCTTAACTCTTAGGTTAGATTTTCTACCTTTGCTGCTTTCTACAAACAAAGTGTTTGTAGAAAGCAGAAAGCAGCACACACACACACACACACACACACACACAAAGAAACCACAACTGAGGGAGACCGGGAGGAAGGAGACAACCAGGCCCGGACGTCAGATCAGAGGACGTGTTATATATTAGACTTCTGTTCTTTCAGTTCTCACTGTTTTGAGCGCTTCCTTCACCAGGTCGTCTTCCAGGTTGGCCTGAATGTGAACTGCAGCAGACAAAAGGGAACAACAGTTAGTGACAAGCGAAACCTTCAAGCAAAGCAGCACCGAGGAAGCTGTAACAAGTGCCACCTCAGCCGAGCTTTAATATGACGTCTTTTCCTTACTGTCCACTTCATCCAGGATAAACTCGTCCGTAGTGATGTCCAGCTCTCCCAGGTTCAGGTTAGCGATGTCTGCTTCAGTCTTCTGGGTGAAACACAACCAGTGTGTCTTCAGTGGTGATAATTAACAGGATGAAAGTGTCAAAACTTACTGACATTAAAGCTTTCTTTGGTTTTCATTCACTCACTTGTTTATTCCAGCCAATGAGAAAACATACACTTACTGGCCACTTTGTTAGGTACACCTGTTTGTCTGTTCTTTAACTCAAATATCTAGACCTGTGGACATGTACAGATGACCTGCTGTAGTTCAAACTAAGCATCAGAATGTGGAGAAAAGGTGATCTAAGTGACTGCGAGGGTGGTATGTTGGTCTGAGTGTTTCCGGATCTGCTGATCTGCCGGGATTGTCCCACAACTGCAGAGGGCTGTGCGATATGACCAAAATCTCACATCCCGATATAAGAATTTTATCGTCCGATAACGATATAAATCACAAACATGTAACATTTTCTGTAAATTCTGTCAATCTCGGGCAGCTCGACTTGCATGAAGTGTTTCCAGCTGCGCGTCGTGTAGCTGGAGTCGAGTGATGAAACGAGTCTAAGGTTTATTTTTTAGCACCTGGGGGCTCTTTTTTACTTCTCATCCGTAAACAATCTGCTCTTTCACGTGATTCAGTTTATTTTGAAAAGTCTCAACAGGATCTTGAGCTTTATTGTGAAAGGTTTACGTGGAAAATAAACAAGCGGACATGCAATGCTGTTACCGTCGCTGTTGCTAACGACAACGCATAAAAACAGGCGCTTGTCCGTCTGTAGTGTGGTTATATTAAACATAAGAGAAAGACAACTTTAATAAATGAATACAGCCACTACAGTGAGCATCAAAACGGTGAAAAAATATTGCCGTAAACAGTTTATTTTGCGACACCACGAAACAATCGACAGCGTAAAATGAAACAGACGTTTTTATATCGTCATCCGATATATATCGTTACATCGAACAGCCCTACACAAAAGGTCGGAAAAAGACCTTCTGCGCACAGCAGCTCACTGGAGGAGAACGGCCAGACTGCTTTGAGCCCGACTTACAACCAAGGAACAGCATAAGCAAATGGACTACGGGAGCAGAAGACCACAGCTGGTGTCACTCATGTCAGCTAAGAAGAGGAAACTGAGGCTACAGTTCGCACAGACTCACCAAAACTGGACACAGAAGATGAAAAAACATTTCCATTCCCATCCCTGCATAACCTCAGTGTCCACCAGGATAACACACCCTGTCTCAAAGCTCAGACCATCTTAAACTGGTTTCCTGAATGTGACGATGGGTTCACTGTACTCAGTTGGCCTCAACAGTCAGCAGAGTTGGATTAGTGGCCATGTATTAATTAATTTTAGTGTGTTCTGTGCTGCTGAGGAATCTCTGAGGAATGTTATCAACAGCTGAATCTGAAGACTTAAACCGACTGAAGGAAAAATGAGGTCCATCCCGGTTACATCAAGGTGTACCTAATAAAGTGTCCGATGTGCGTATTTACACAGAGAGAAGTTGACTGAATAAACATCTGTTTTCTAGCCGTTGCACACACCACCTCCGCTGTGTTTGTATGACAGACCAATAACAAACTGATTGATGCAGCAAAACAGTCCAAATCTGATAATAATCAATAATCAGCCATAATCAGGATTATTAATGCGGGACCAGAACGACAACTGATAAACATAAATCGTCTTTTCCTCCTCAGAAAAAGGAAGTCAATGCTTCCCATTAGCATCCAGCAGCATCAGCGCTCCGTAGAATGATTCCACCTGCTAACAGCTTCTTTGAGCTTCACGCAGCTAAAGCTTGCGCTCACCGGCCATTACCTCCGTGAAACTGAACGCAGGCGTCACGCAGAAAAAGAACATCTTACCTCGTCCTGTAAATACGCCATGGCGACTTCTGTCGGGTTCCCAGCTGTGTTTACATCGGGCCCAGCTCCAGCAGCGGTCGCGGTTCCCTCCGCCATTGCGGCCAATTTACGCTAACGTCAGAAAAAAAAATACAAATCTAAAGTTCCACCTCGTAGTTAGCAAAAATATCGTATTATTAACCGAGCGCGGTATTATCACGATCACGTGCCGTGGGTGATAAATCAGTGGGACTCAATAAACATTTATTTCGCGTGAGTTAACGAAACTAACCGCGTTAAGCCACGTATTTGCTTGTTTCTTTTGAACACAGTTTTATTTCCAGTCGGACGACTCGATAGTGACGGACCAACTTCCGTTCCCCGAAGGGGTCAAACTCTCGCGAGAGGCTTGCGGCTTCCTCTTCGCACGGAACCTGCTTCCAAGATGGTGAGTGTCTTTTCTGTCGGACTGAAATGTCTCAGAAATCCGCGATCATCCAACTTTAGTCGCGCTTGTTTGTCACATTTATACATCCGATAAATCCTCCACAGCCTACTTGAGTGGGCTGGTGCGGAATTTTCAGTTTATTGCTGGTAATTTGACGTTTTAGCGCAGTTTGCTGTGGGATGTGAGTGGAGCTGTGTCGACGAGCGCCAACAGTTAACTTCGTTTTTCCCTCCCGGTTATAAAGCGTCCACATGCCCGGCGTCTGCTGCTGGCACTAGTAGCTGTGGATGGAGACTCTGTGCTGCTTAAAACTTTAAGAAGCAGTCATAGTTCGAGGCGGTTACCCCTCAGAGCTAACAGGCTTTAGCCTCGCCAAGCATGTTGGTGGACCCTGGCCGGGAGCTGGAAGTACTCTGATGTAAATACACAGTATTTAAAATAGTCGAAGTACTGCTGGGATGTTTTTGAACAAAGCTGAAGCTGTTCAGAGCCTCAGCAGTCGATCTGTTTGGGCTAACGGGACTGAACTAAGAGAAATCCTCATGAACCTCTAGCACACTGTGCAAATATATAGGTTAACATATAAAGATACATACAGTGTGAAGCTTGTAAACATGTATGTGTATTACTGCATGATCTTTGCAGAAACTACATGTTGCTGTGTGTGACTCACTTTGTTTCCCTCTGCGTCTCAGTCTCTGGTCATCCCTGAGAAGTTCCAGCACATTCTTCGTGTCCTGAACACGAACATTGATGGCAGGAGGAAGATCGCCTTCGCCATCACTGCCATCAAGGTGAGCTCCTCCCTGAGACTGTGCCGCTTGTTAAAACTGTTTTTCATCATCACATCAGTTGCGCTGTGTTTTTTGTTATTGTCGGCGTGTTGTTAACACTTTGTCTCTTCTCAGGGTGTTGGCAGACGTTACGCTCATGTTGTCCTGAGGAAAGCCGACATCGACCTGAACAAGAGGGCTGGAGAGCTGACTGAGGAGGAGGTGAGGATTGTTCAGAGCTTTGAATGAAAACGGCGACTTGTGATGCTTTTGTGTTGTCAGGAGATTTTGTCACTGGAGCTTTAGTGGTGGTTCTGAATCTGTGCAACAAGTATCACGAGTATTGATTTGTGAAGCGTTTGGAGGGTCTGCCCTCTGCAGGCCGCTCTCTGAGGCTATAGAAATATTTCAATCGTCCTCAGAGCAGCGTCTTGTTTTATTGCATGAAGGCAAAGAGACGGCACTTTGTTCTGTGACGAACGGTACTCACAAGTCGGAGGAATAAGTGTGGCTACCAGCAGCAGGTTAACGTTGGCACTAGAGCAGGGCGATATGACCAAAAATATTTATCACCATATACATTTGAAAATTCGCGGTAACAATATAACTGACGATATAATTGACACTAGACAAAATACTTTACAACTCCACAACTTTATTAGTGCAAAAAAACCCCCAAAAACCCATCAGTGTATTTTCACTTAAACAAGCAGCTGTTTTTTATCTGCATTAAAGTTATATAAAAATTTAACAGTGCAAATGCAAATTCCTCGCTGACAGTTTAACCAAAAGGCATTTCCAGTGGAAACTGGCCGACATATCCTCAGCATAACCATGTATAATATCCACAAAACTTAAAAAGAGGTTATACACACACAATACGGTAACATTATGTTGAAGCACAGTACGTATCACTCCGCGAGGCTCCGCCTACGATAGCCGTAATGCTCCGACAATCCATCAAGCGGTGCGGCTTCGTAGCTCAGCAAAGTCGTACTGAAACATTTGACAGATTTTCGAGCGCCGTGCACATAAAATCGTTTCGAGGTCAGTAAACACAACCAGAGTTCATACATAAGGCACACGGGATTATAAGGGGCTCTGTCGACTTTCAGAAAAATCAAAGGATTGATTTTAAGTGCGCCGTATTTTCCAAACAACACGGTAATAACGACGGCCCGCTAGCATGCGCTACCAAAAATAGTGCTTTGTTGTGTATCTGACTAAGTAACCAGTTCCACACCAGTGAAGCTGCAGCATTTTTACAAACCAGCTTCAGGTTCATCCGTTTCATCAACGATCCGCTTTCGCTCTTCTCGTTCTGCGTCGCCGCCATGTGCGTATGTAAACAAAGGCACTGCGCATGCGCGTTTCACCCATATTCTATCGCGGTATTTCATTTTCTTATCGTTGCCCAACATTACACCGGTGTTACCGTGAACGGTATGATATAGCCCCGCCCTAGTTGGCACACCTGTGCAGAAGGTGGTCACACCGTGCATATGAGTGTGTATCTGCCACTGCAGTGCTCCAGTTTTTACACATTTAGACAAACTAGGGGGTAAAGAAGCGCCTCGCGTCTCAAAGGGGTGCAGAGTGACGTAATCATCAAAGACATCATTGGTTTAGCTGAGGCTGCTCGGTGGACTTTTCTGTCTGCAGAGCATTTTGCTTCACATCAGGATCAAAATACTTTATTGATTCCTAGATGAAGTTTGTCCTGACTTTGACGTAAGGCAGCAGATGTTTCCTCGGGCGTCACATTGTAGGCAGACGGCGTCAGTCTCCCAGACGTAAATGCTTCATTAGATCCTTTCCTGTCGATCACCATATTCAGTTTCCTTGCGTAGTAACCGGAGCTGCTTGGTTGTCAGGTCGAGCGTGTGGTGACCATCATGCAGAATCCTCGCCAGTACAAAATCCCAGACTGGTTCCTCAACAGGCAGAAGGACGTGAAGGACGGCAAATACAGCCAGGTGGGTGATCGCAGCTGCTGCTTTGTCTTCCATTCTTCAAGAATCTAAATGATAAAGTCAATTTTTGGCTCAAACCTGAACGAGGTTCACACCAAAGTATTTGATTGGACGAGCTAGTTCGAGGCACCTCGTGACCATCCCTGTGTCTGATTTCAGGTCCTCGCCAACAGCCTGGATAACAAGTTGAGAGAAGATCTGGAGAGGCTGAAGAAGATCAGGGCTCACCGTGGTCTCAGGCACTTCTGGGGGTAAGAGCTCGGTCCTTGTATTCATTCACACTGCTGTGAGAAGGCTCTGCATCGACGCGTCCTCCGTTTACCCGAGTCTGCACACATCTGTGAGCGGGACACGTCCTGCAGAGTTCAGAGACTTCATGAACGTTTGTGTCACACTTGAGTAAACAAGGCGTCTGCAGAGTGAGCCTGTCCTGAAAAACTTGAACTGTGAGCTCAGAAACGCTGGTGCCGCCTCTGCGTGCGTCCACACTAACAGGCTAAAGTCGTGTGACTGTAGAGCACAGATGCAGCGACTTCTGCACCAACGGTCTAAAAAAAAAAAAAATGCTTTTTTTACCCAATTTTTGTTTCTAAAAACAATGAGAGCCACATATGAAGACATTCGTTTTTAATTTTGATAAAACGGAGGCAGTTTAATGTCCTCGTAGGTGGCCCTTGTGGAGCAAAATTTGGTATTTTGGTCTAGACAACCCAAAACGTGACGTCCAGATATGTGGATGCCGGGTCCTAGGAGGTTAATAATGGGCTCAAACATTGTGATGCATGTTGTCCTGCTGATTTACAGACCAGTTAAACATCCTGTTTATGTTCCTGAAGCAGATGTTTGAGTTTCCTGATGGTGGAGAGGTTATAAGTTTGTCTAAGCTGAAGCACGTTTCCAACGTGGAGCAGTCGGTCTGATAAAAGCCTTTAAAAACAAATCAAACATGTTGTTCAGTCCTTTGTTACAGACGTCCTAACCTGGTTTGTCTCTCTCCCTGCAGTCTGCGTGTGCGCGGCCAGCACACCAAGACCACCGGCCGTCGTGGTCGCACCGTCGGCGTGTCCAAGAAGAAGTAAACTGCCCCGCTTCCCTTTGTTTCAATAAAACACCACAGTTCACAAAATGTTCTCGTCCCCTGTGCTGCTTTACTTCTCTCACCAACACACCGCTGGGAGCTCCTTGGTGATTTATTTTGAAGGGACGTGGCGTCTCGGTGGACCTCGGTGAAGCAGTATTAATGTTCATGTTGTATTTAAATGTTGCACTGCACAGCTGAACATGTTCTGCAGGATTTCAAACAGGAATCTGATATTTGAGGCTGTTAGTACAGATGGAGCTGCTCAGCAGGGGGAATGGATCAGGAGTAAAAGGCCCAGTGACACGGACACGAGTGCTCTGAGTACACTGAATACATCTGCACTTCAGACAAAACTTATTTCCCTGCTTTGCCTCAGAGGCAGGTTCAGAGCAGCAGCCTTCATTGTACAGAATGAAACCAGGATAGAGAAGCCCGTTAGAACAGCTGAGCTTTAGTCGATACCCTGTAGTGATGCACAGGTGGATGCGCCGCTGTGCAGACCTTTGTTTTGTCTAATATTTTGAGCCCAGGCGGGTTGGTTACACTTGGATACGATTAAGTTGAAGACACAAAAACAGAAGCTGGAGATCGAGTCCAACAGTTTATTGTGCTGCATTGATGACAGGAGGAAAGACAGTATCACACATCAGAGATGAAATATTGCTTCATTCTAATATAGAGACATCCCACAGAAACTGAGATGTGGGGAAATGATATGGCTGCAGGAGGTTTAAAGTGCGTAGGAAGTGAAGCAAAGGCTTGAAGCAGCAGGACCCGAGCGGGCTCATGAAAAATGCTTTTTCATGCCAGTGTTTGAAACGTGTTGCTGCACAGCTGCATCTGTAGACAACGTAAACATTCAAGACTAGCAAAATATGGGCTTTTAAACGTCTGTGTACAACTTTTTATTAAGGAAATGTTTCAGAAAACTGCTGCTGCCTCATCTCTGCACTCAAAAGCGCCGCTGCTATAACAGCAGGGAGAATAAAGTCCATCCTGATCGCTACGATAACCTCGAGCAACAGGTTCCACTGAGTGTGCCCGCTAAATGAGGAGCTGCTTGTTTTTAGTGCAGAGCTGTCCCACAGCGCTAAAGCCTGAAGACGCTATGAAGATTTCAGAGATGAAACCGGCCGACGAGTCGCTGCAACGGTTTTTAATTCACCAGTTTGTAGAAGAGAAGATTAACTAGAAGCCTTTTCGAAGCCTCGGAGCTCTTCTAGAGAAAGGGGCAAATGTTTAATTATCATTTGTCTGATTTCATTTGGTAAATCCACCATCACGGAGGACCATCGAGCAGCAGTCCACTGTGACGTCTCGAGGGTCAGTGCCGTGAAAATAAAGCTACCAGCCCAGCGACCTTTTTCTGACACGACTACACAGCTCGACACGACCGGCTTCCACCGACAAATCTAAAAAACAGAATAAATTAAAACAGCCGGGGGTGCATGAGAAGATGAGCTTTATACTTTCACCTGGTCTCAAAAGCAGAGTGGGAGTGGGGTGGAGGCGACACTGAGAAAAACACAAGTTTGATCCCAAAGTTGGTCTTCTATTTAAAAAAAGAAGCTTCTGACAGATAAACCCTGAACATTTCCATCTGGAAACACTTTCACAAAATTGACTCCAAAAATATTTAAGACTTATTTTTCCCACTGAAAATGGGCGTCCATAAAGACGGCTCTCTTTTAAACTAGTTTATCAGATTTTGTAGTTTCCAAAGTTCTGTTTTGGTCATTTCTGCAAAAAGAAAATAAAATGCATTTTTTAAATAGCCACATTTTGAATTGGTGCTTTTATTTTGGCACCGCAGACATGTAGCTATGAGGAAGCTGCTGCAGCTGCTCACTGACACGTCGCGTCTGCATGTTAGAGAAGCATGGAGAACATCTGGCTTTGTCCAGCACACACGACTGACTTGAAAGCATCAAAAACAGCTGGACTCCAGCAGCTGCTGCTTTAGTTTCACTCTGTAGACTCTCAGATCAGTTTGTCTGCTGCGAAATCAGCTCACATGTTACAGCCAGTTCAGTGAGGAGATGAAGAGATCCCCATTAATAACAGTAAACTAGGAAAAACATGACGCAGGTTTTCTGTGAAACTGTGGCAGCTGAACTAACTTATCATAAAAAACAGAAGAGAAATTGAAGAGCCACGTTGGAGAGTCCACCGCTCCCCCTCAGGCCTCCCTCTGTGGGGTAGGAGGCTGCTGCTGCTGGGGCTGCTGCTGCTGGGGCTGCTGCTGCTCTTTGGTGGGGGCGTAGTACAGCTCCAGAGGCTTCCTGACCTTCCAGTACTTCTCGTTCACCAACTCCAGAGTCAGCGAGCCGTTTAGGGTCTGAGAGGAAGGACGAGCATAAAGGTCAGATCACAAAAAAGCTTCTAATGGAATCGATCAGTCCAGATTTCCTCCATCGTACAACAAAAATCACACCAGGAACCAGCCTGACTGCACTACGCAAAGACTTGCCCACTTTCTGTCCTGGGTTTTCACAATAAAAGCCCTAGACACTCACTGTAATACAATCCCAAACAAAAAAGCTGTAAAATAAAAGTTTTCCAATAAAAACTGTTTCGTCTCACTCCCATTTGTTGTTGTTGCATCTTGAAGCTCTACTTGGAACCTCGTTAAGATCCAAACATGCAAAATTGGATTTGTTGCCATTTTTGAAGTGGTCTTAAACTTTTGCTTACCAGAGGTGAACACTGAATGAACGAGCCGCAGTTTCTGGGACGCAAATTTGAAATGAGAAGACTTCAAACTTCCCACTGATTTATATGTATTTTTTTAATCTAAGGCATCTTTTCAAGGAGCGAACGTGCACATCAGTCTGTAAAGATAAACTCATCCATGAACACAGAAGGTTAATGCAGCTTGAATAAAACGGGACTCGTGTTCAGCCGTCACTCACAGAGAACTGGCCTCCCCTCGTCAGGATGTAGATGGTGTACTGCTTCTCGCTGACGTTGCTCAGACTCGTCCCCTCGCCGCTTCCTGCCATCCCTCCGTTTTCACCTCCCCCGCCCTCGGCTCGCGCCTCTTCTCGTTCTGCCTCCTCTCGCCCTCGGTCCTCGGGTTCATTCTCGGGCCGTCGGTCCTCCAGAGCGATGCGCAGTGCGAGGTACTTGGACAGATGGTCCACCGTAGCGTTAGCTGTTGTCTTCACATATCTGACAAGGGAAAGGCAGATGATGGCGATGTGCTCTACCTCTGACAAATTAAACGTTTTCTGAATTGTCTGGCCACTCGGGGACAGGCTCACCACTTCACACATGTTCGTTCTTATTCACACATTTTTACTGATTTCTAGTCATTTCCCAGGTTTTAGCTGTTTTTGGTCTCTGCCATCTCCCGGAGAGCAGTTTATTCGAGCACCTGACTAAATGATTCACATTTTCAGTATAAAATGTTTGTTCAGCTACTTCAGAAAAGGTCTAACCTCGTCTGGTTGTAGTCCTGGGCGTGGACCAGCTGTGGGTGTGGTCTAAACACCAGCTCGATCTCGGAGGACAGCCCCTCTTTGTGGCGTCTCAGCGGGGGAGTCGGGCTCCCGCTGTCCACCTCGGGTCCCGAGCCATCATCCGATGGACGTGGCCGCTTGCGGCTCGGCCCGGCCTCCGGAGGGGTATGACCACAGGGGTGTGGCGTGTGTGAGGGGGCGGAGTCGTGGGAGAGGTGTGAACGGGAGTCCCCATTGTCCTCCCCACCACTGTAGGTGGTGTTATCACTCTCCTGAGTGGGCTTCTTCACTCGGTGATTCCTGCAGCCCCAAGGTAAACACATACAACAGTAATTATCATTCAGAGGGGAGGGGCTTAAACTTACAGGGTGTGGTCAGTTGTCATAACAGCAGCGGTGTTATTAAGTCAGGAACAGCAAGAAAAGGAGGAGCTGGGGAGAGGGTGGGTTGCAAAGCGGCATGCAGGCTAAAGAAGCGCAGCATCTGTCGGGAGTACGGCTCTGTATCCCGCCTGAATGCTACGCCGTATTCAGGAGGATCCGCGGCGCTCTCTCGAGCGCAGAAGCGTGAAATCATAGAACTGATCCGTGTCACCTCTCGGACCTGTAGCGGGCCTGCTGCCGGAGCCCCTCCTCGATGCTGGAGCTCAGCGCCTCCTTGTTGTGCAGCCGGTTGAGTCGCTCGAGGACGCGGCGTTGGTGGGCTTCATACTCGTCGCGACTTGGGTAGATCTTCGAGATCAGCGCGTCGAAGTTTGAGTCTCTGCGCAGCGAACGTCTAGAAACCAGCTTCTTCCTGCAGGTCGGACACTCCTTGTTCCTGCACAGGAAAAAACGGCCTGAAGCTTCGTAATCACTGAATAATCGGCTTTTGCGGAAATGTGCCACATTTAAAATCAGTCAGTGAACACATTCAGCTACACAAACGTTACCGCGACGCATTTGTTCTCGTTAGGGACAGCGGCAGCATTTCCACCGCAGAAAACAACCCATCAAAAGTCCCTTAAAAATTTATCTCCGAATTATTTATAATTGGCCAAAACAAGCTGTGTGAACACGGCGATCGTGAATCAGGTACACTGGCAGCTCGCGCTCACCCAGATCGCAGCGCGGTGACGATGCAGTCTGAGCAGAAGCGGTGCAGACACTCTTTGGTGGTCATGGTGTTCTTCAGCATGTCCAGACAGATGGGACACATGAGCTCGCTGTGCAGAGAGCGAGGAGACACGGCTACCTCCGTCCCGTCCACGATGGCCTCCTGAACATACCAAACGTGTGAGAACATTTGCGGTTCTTCATTTCTGCTACATCACAGTTGGGCCTTTTAGCCGAGCTGTTTATTTTCTATTCCCTCTGCTCTGGCAATGGGAACAAAGCTTACAAACTCATTTACCCTTCAGCAAACTTCACAAATAATTTCCTCACAGTTTCCTAAGACACTGCCTCTATTTTGCAGCGAGCTGCTGGGCACACAGACAGCTTTACCTGAGGGCTCCTGTGCAGCTCGTACAGACTCAGCTCCCAGGTCTTACTGGGAGCCTGGATGTTTACCGGAGCTGCCATGGCTGCGCTCCCCCCCAATCAATCCTCACTGAGAGACAGGAGAGAAAACACAATCAGATGTTCTCGTCATGTGTCAAAATAATTAACGTTTTTACAGACTCAAAATAAAAACACAAAGAAATCCACATGAAGACATACATATATAATTATTTTAAGAGCAATACCTCCACATGCTGGGCTGGCAGAATAACTCAACCTGTTTTAAATGTATGAACTCGTACAGCAACAAACATTTGAATTCAGTCTCATCAGTCATCAGGAGCATATCCACCTCACATGTGCTGTACAGGCTGAGTGGCTGCAGTTGCAGCTGAAGCATTCAAATCTACCCACAAACATGTTGAAAGATGCAATGCCAGCAATGTGGACTGTCAAGACTAAAACCAGTCACTGAGCAAAGACACAGTTTCATGTAGTTGAATGGTTTATTGGAAAGAAGGAAAAACACTGAAAGTTACAAGTGTATTGTGCACGAAACAAACTCAAACGTGGCGACAGAGCCGTGCAGATGTGTGTCACGAGTTAATCTCGCTGTATAATAAACAAAAATGATCCCTGCTAAATCCGGATCCGTTTCCGGTGCAGCCTGCCGGGTCTCTTCACTACAAAGCTTTTTTCTGCAGAATGATGTGCAACATTTGATGTGTGAGAAGAATAACGGCTTTGATTCGGTGTGGCCGTGATCTTGCAGTTATTCACGCTTGCATGTGTAAACATCTCGGCTTTCTTCGCATGTTCTCAGCTTTTTGGATTTCTTCAGTTTTTAAATGATTACAAAGGCACCGGATTTATTCTGAAAACAAAACCATGTAACTTCACAGCAGCCCCGCGGTCTCTGCTGAGAACCACAGCTTATTTTTAGTTCCCACAAGAGGAACTCACCAACAGCTGCCAGCCTTCAAACTTCCTGCAGGGACCGAACACTCCAAAGTTTGCGAACTTTGACTCAGTTTTGCGGATTTAACAGCCAAACGCTTTACATCCGTCGACGCGCACTGAAAAGGACGAAAAAGAGGGAAGAAGAAACTCACCTGACGTTTAAGTGACGGCAGCTGGCACCGCTGCACAGACACGGAGCCACTAGACCGCTACGAACAGCGCGCAGCGGGGCTCGGCTTCCCGCCACAGTCTTTACGATGTCGGCGGAGGGGTCTTACGTTGTCACGGAGCCTCGGTACAGAACTACAGCGGCCAAAAATATCAGGAACGAAACATTTTTCGACAGTCATTAGCTACCTAACATTAGCCGCGGCCATTTTTTTCCCTTCTTCTTCTGCGGCTCCCGGTAAAGCTGCACACCGCTTTGCGGCGGTAGTGCCCCAAACGGCAGGTTTGCGTATTGCAGCGCAGCCCCAATCCCAGACTCGGCAACCACACAGGTTTTATGTGTTTTAAAACACAAACAACTTAAACTAAAAATAATAACAAATCAAACATACCATACTGGTGGGATTTTAAGAGAACTTTATTTTAAAGGTGCAGCAATAACTGAAACTGAATCACAAAAGAAGAACACGGGAAAATGACCACCAAAGTGCTAAAAGCGACTTCTTCCACCTTTTACACCTTCAGTGGTGTAAAAGGTGACAAGTGACAGGTCTGCAGTGAAATTCAGAATTCATTTAAACTGATGAATTTTGAATTAATAAATTAAATTAAGCCCAGTGTGGCCTAGCTTCAATCTCTTGTCCAAACTCGTACTTGTCCCGAACTCGAAAATATTGAGGAGGAAAACAAAATAACACTGGTCCCGAAGAGTCTGGTCAAACAATTTTATTGAACACATGCGCGGGGAGATGGATACTGCACACAATCAGCATAGATCTCCACCCAAAAAGCAATTGCTTTTATAATGTCAGGGTTTGACAAGGTTTCCAAGAACATTATTTGCATCTTAAGAACATTTTTTGCATTTTTTACAGACAATGGTCAATTTTAAGAGATAAGTGCAGACACCGAAGTTCCCCTCCCTAGCATCTTCATCCATATATGGCGATGAATCCAGGCCCTGAAGATCCCCAGGGTCTTCTTTTTGACACATCTTCTGTCACCTGTTACTAAGCAAACTCAAATGCCACAGGTTGCTGAATAGTTTCAGGCCTGTTTCTAGATTATATGGACTATATGTGTTTTGTAAGCGTGTATGCAGTTTTAACCTTCTATAGCTCCAAGTCACTTACACAATAGATCGTCCACACACGGGTGATCACACCCACAAACTACACCCTTTTTGGCTCCTACCTCAAAGCACACTGTGTTCTGTTGATCTTATGTGCTGCACAATAATGTTTAATATTTAGTATTTACTGTCATATTCCCATATATCATTGTGATGTTGTTTATTCTATTACTCTTGTTCTCTTCTGCTTGTTTTCTTTTTTCTTTCTCAGCAGGTGATCCAGGTGATTGATATATGCATTTTTTTCTCTGCCCATTCTGTTGGTTTTTGTCTTTTGCCCTTCTCCCCCGTCCCTCTTCTCAGCTGTTTCTCTTTCCCTCTTTCTTTCCCCTTCTTTCCCCCAGTCAAGTCTGTCCCGTATTCAGTAAGTGAAAATAAAATAAACAATAAAAGGTGAATCAAATGGACCATTACGGCAAGGCTGGGATGGTCAATTTGGTAAAGTAAATCCGTTGGGCATCTTTCTTTGCCTTTAGACAACAATTCTGATGGCAAAAGAGCCAAACGGGACAGGC